GAGAGTGCTGGCAAGTTTATAGTGCAGGTGGGAACGCTTCGGAGGCTTTGATCTATGAGTACCGACTCAAACATCTGCTCTGTGAAATTGCTCTTACTACTGTACTGCTGCTGCCGATAATGCGCAATTTGCAGTGTACAAGCATCGTGACAACTCCATCTCATATTCCCGGTGATAAAAATGTGTCTACAGAACGTCTTGGCGATAGCTGTGTCTTATGACGTATTATTTTTTAGTGTATACAACAGCAGATTGACAAGAGATTACCTTCGACAAATTCATACTTTACTGGCTAAGCTTACAACGCTCAGTCTTCCAGTTAGGATCGCCTACATCTACCAGAGTTCCACATGATATCCGAACGCTGGGGGAGTTTACGTTGTAATCACGATTGGATGGCCATTCTCACGGCTCTTGCTTCCACTGTAGGAGACGGTCACCATCTTTTTGAGGGATATCTTCTTTGAGCTGTCACTTGGGGCCCAAAAGTGCAGTGGAAAAGGCTACTCTGTTCCATTGAACGCAGTCGAATTGAGTAATCTGTGCTCGAATCGACGACAGCGAAGCAATCAAGCAGATGGAAACATCACTACATGTAACTACTGCCGGTAGTCTACTGGTTGCCAAGTGAGCCCGTAACCTGCTACCTTGTCCAGCTACAATGTCGTTTCATACACTCATTCCTAGTCACCACTATTACCAGATCACGTGATCCAGTTGGATGAGGAGGTTGGAGTGCTCACTCGTGCTCAGTACCAGTTTCGCTTCGTCCCACGACAAAGTCTACTGACGATCACATCACTCCGCGATGATCCACGAACGTCTAATGACCACAGAGACGTCGGTCTCCGCTCGTCACCATGCCACTGTGGCTGCCACGAAAAAGTCGAAGAAAAAGAAAGATCGCGTGACTACGGAGCTATGGGAAGCTGTCATGCACGAGCAATGGAAACGGGAGCAACAACGTCGACGTATGGTCCGTTGGAGACAACAGAAAAAGGAGAGTGTGACGTCCATGGTTGAGGAACGACTGCGCCTAGAGAGGAGGTTGCAACGCCATATCTTGAGAGCTCGGATGACGGCCGACAGAGTGACGCCCCACTCGTTCGAAGAAACCATTCGCTTAATTACCCTCCAAAAGGCTGCGCTGATAAGAGAAAACTTGGTACTTATAGAGGCTATTGCACGACATGTCAAACTGGAGTCGATGCTTCAGCGCGATATCCAAGAGTTCATGCCTCGCGTTGACAAACCCTGCAGTGACTCGACTGAAGAACTTACACAGCAAAAAAACAAAAGAAAAAGCCCTACCGCTGGACCAAGAAAATGGAGGTCGGTATGTCTTCTTTCCGAGCGCTGAACCTTCGTTTTACTTCCATCCCTTCACCAGAGAAGAATTTGACAGCATCATGAATAACGATGACGTCGTCAACTCTGACCGCCACCCATGCACACAGAGTGTGGGGGAGCTTTTTGGGTGGAAAGTGGACTATGCACCACTGGTTAGAACGACGGAGGGAAGCGTCATGGCTCACGCGATATTTACAAGACGTCTACAATGTTCGATCGATTACGCTGACAAAGTTTTGCCTCGACTGGACAAAACTTTGTGGCCGAAACTAGTAACTCCGAGGAGTTGGAATCGTGTACAGACGGGAAGCTACAGCTGCCAAGTGCTGCAGAACTTCCACAAGGACGCGCACGTTATGGTCTGCAATATCCCGGGGGAGGTGAATCTCCGTTACATTGCTCTGGCTCAGCACACCCGAGACTTTCGAGCGGATGGCAAGCGTGTGGACAAATACACCATAACGATCGCAGACTCCGAAACAAATTCTCGTAACAGGGAAGCCGCAGGAAAGCAGCAAGACGTGCAGTGGGTTCTCGAGGGAGGCACGTGCATTACAATCACTGAAGTTGACCGAGGCATTATTGACGTCGTGTTTGATCAGTGGGCGGGGTGCTTGCGTGAAATGCATGGTCGACAGTTGTACATCGATTGGATTCGGTTCCCTGTCGGTCTGGAGCAGTATATTTCTCCTACGCGATTGCTAAATGCTTGAATAAGGGAATTATCAAGACAAGATATGTGCGTTAGCTTCTAACGTTAAAACTTGATGACCAACAGGTTACATGCTTCGAAGTACATTTATTTCTCTAACTTTACAGTGGG